GCCGGGACCAGAACCTGGCGAGGAGGGCCTGCCAGGCAGCTCCCTGCAGACGTGCCTGTTCCCTCCTCGTCCCAGGATCACACCTGTCTGCTCTGCGGGTAGGACCCCACCCCATGTCCAGGCCAGCAGCTCCCGGACACTGGGGCGCGGTGTCCCTTTCAGCTGCGAGGCTATCGGCGCCATCGGCAGCTTCTGCAATGTGAGCCCGCCTGGGAGCAGCTGTGGCCTCCAGCGGGGACTGAGCCCGGTCCCTTACCTTGCTCCAGGAGGTGCCCTGCCACCTCCCCGTTTCCAAGACCTGCCCGAGATGGAATTACAGCCCCGGGCCCGCACCTGCCACAGGCGCAGTGTCTCAGGCTCTGCCTGGCTAGGACCAGCTCAGGGAGGGTGCCTGCTCAACCCCTCCCAGAAGCAGGTGGAGGCCCACGAGGGGAAGGGCAGGGGCCAGGGAGGCCGCCCAGGGCCCAGGGTGGCAGCAAGGCCAAGACTAGGGCTCTAGAGGGGGCGAGGGGTCAGGGGGAAAGGGCAGGTCCACGCTGGGTGCCAGGGTGGTCTCGGGAGGCGCAGCAGGAGGGCAGAAGATGGCTGGGACCTCAGGGTTGCGGCCACCTGGGCTGTTGAAGGCTGATGGCCTGGAGAGAGGCCTGGCTGGAGAGACGAGTGCCCTCCTGACCATTGCCAGGCCAAGGCTGCTGTCAGGCTGAGCTGCTCACAGACTCTCAGCGGACAGGCCCCCAGGCCGGCCATTCTAGGTGCTGACCATCCTGCCCCCTGCCGTGGTCCTCCCTGCAGCTGGCACTGCCCTCGGCCTCCTCCCTGTGGCCCTGCCCTCTCCCCCTCCCCTCTGTCGGTGGCCCTCAGCTCCCAGCGCCTTCTGTCCCTGTCCTCTGATGCTAACCCTCCTGGGCACACGGTGGGTGCCGCCCAGCCTGTCCTGGAGGAAGGTCTGGAATGCAGAGCCCTCCTGCCAGGGCCTGGGGGGTGGAGGGAGCCAGGCTCAGGAAGGAAGGGGCTGGCGGTTGGAGTGGCCTGTTGGAAGGACGGTTGGGGGTGAGACTTGGAATGGAGACTGGGCGACAGTTGGCGGTGGCAGCTGGAGTGGCAGTTGGGGCTTGGCAGGGGCGCAGGCCAGGAGGACAGTGGGGTGGAGCCCCGTGGGTTGGCAGGTAGCCCCTGGCCCAGAGCAGCTCAGGAGGTGGTCTCCGGGAGGCCCAGCAGGAGGGCAGGGCCAGCTGGCTTCGCCTCAGGGGGGGAGGGGGCTGCTGCCTCGCCGCTCCTGTCCGCCAAGGACCCAGGAGGATGTGCAGAGCCGGTTCCCGCCGGCAGCCCGGCCCACGGGCCTGCTGTCTCCTCTCTGCCCGCCCTCAGCCTGCGCCTTCCCGGAGGCCTCCAGTAGGGGCTTGGAGAGGGCAGGCACAGGTTCTGGGCAGTTCCTGGGGAGGGGCCGGACTCCCAGGGCTGTTGCCATGGGGACGGCTGGAGAGGAAACCAGCAGATTCTATGACCAGTGACAGTAGTTTTAGAAAACCCAGCCACTCCATGATTCTCTCTCATCATTGATGTTTCTATCTCTGTCCCTCTCCCTCTCTGGAGTCAATAAAAATGTATTTAAGAAAACAATACCCCAGTGGAGTGATGGGAAGCTGTGCCCTGGGGGAAGGTGGGGCGTGTGCACTGGCCCTGGCAGGGTTCACCAGGGGACCCTGGGAAGGAACATTTGGAGGAATATTGGCTGTACCTCTCATCATCTTTCCCAAAGCTCCTCCCAGGTTCTGCTTCCCAGGTGGGGCCTGGGAGGCAGGTCCTTGCTCTCTCTGTGGCAACAGAACACCCATGAGGCATGGGGCTGGGTCCCCTCCCCGCCCCTCGGCCCTGAAGCCGTATGGGGCTGCAGGGCAGGCAGGGGGATGGCCCAGCACAGGGTACGCGGGGCTTTGGGCACAGGGGCTGTGGGCACAGGGCAGGGCTGTGCCAGGACCCTCTGCTGGCCGTGTGGCTCACCCACCGAGCCTGTCCTTCCACGGCCTGGGGCGTAGGAGGTGGTAACATGCTCCGGGGCTGCCATCAGCAAGTGCTCCTGTGACCCCAAAGGGCTTCTGTGCCTGGCCCCTGAGCCTAGCCCTGGCTGCTGATGCTCACTGTCTCCAGGACCCAGACCCCAGGCCTCAAGGTGACCTTGGGCAGGCTCCAGACACACTCCCCTCGTGGCTGGGGGCGAGTTTGCAGAATGACCACCATGCAGCCTTCAGCAGCACAGAGCCCGGCCGTCCATCGGTCTTGCCCACAAGCTGAGCCAGAGTTCATCGTGGAAGGCACCTTACCCCTTGCGCTGGCACTGTTGGCCCTGGATCCTGGGTGCCCTGGCCAAAGAGCATCACAGGGGCCAACCTCACATCCTTGGTCCTCACCTGTTGCAAGAGCTGCTTCTGCCTTTTCTGAGGCTCCCATCCATGGACAGCGAGGGCGGCTGCTGCCAGGCGGCAGATCCTTCTGGGTGTGGCCAGGCCGAGAGGCCGGGGGGCAGTGTGTGTCGCTTTCAGCAGGGTTCAGGGGACTCCAGCAAGGAGGAGGCTTTGCAACCTAGCCTGGCCCTGTGCCAATTTAGCTACTGCTGGGCACTAACAAGTGGGGTCCCTGGGACAGGGCTGTGGCACCTCCCACCAGACAGAGGCACTGGGCTGGCTCCAGGTGCCAGCTGCTGCCACCACTTCTTTCCTTCTAATAGATTTTATGTTGGTTTTAGAGAGAAGAAGCGGGGGAGGAAGGGAGAGAAACATCAATGAGAGAAAAACATTGATGGGCTGCTTCCTACACGCCCCCTCCTGGGGATCAAGCCTGAAGCCCAGACATGTGCCCTTGACCAGGAATCCAACTGTGATCTCCTGGTTCATGGGTGGACGCTCAACCACTGACCACACTAGCCAGGTGGCTCTTCTTCTTTTTTTTTTTTTTAAATGGTAAAGGGTGTTATTAACTCACAGAACAACAAACGTCTAGCGTTAGGGTGGACTTTAGGCATGGCTTGATCAGGGTTCTCTGGGACTGTTCTTGGTCCTGCCTTTTTGGTGTATCAGCTTCATCTTCGGGCTACTTGCCCTTCTGTTGGTTCTGGGAGCAGAAAAGACGGGAGTCTCAGTCCCCAATAGCTGGCAAGGCTGCTGCGGAGAGGGAGGGCCCTTGATTCATCGCCATGCGGGATGAGGGAGTGAGGAGAGGGGCTCAGGGCCCTGGGACTCACTCCAGAACTCGGCAAGGACCATAAGCCCCAGCTGATGGGGGGATGGGCCCGGAGAGACAAGGCTGGCTTCTCAAGGGTAGTCCTCCTGAGCAACCCCTGGACCTCTGGGTGCTCCAGACAAGGCAGCGGGACGTGGACGTGCATGCCAGCAAGGCTGCTCGTGGAGTGTCGTGTGTGTGTGTGTGTGTGTGTGTGTGTGTGTAGCGCTCTGAGGAGAAACTGCCGGAGGCATCAGGGGTCAGGCTCTCCTAGGTTTGGGGTTTCACAAGCTGCCCCGGCTCCCTGGCTGCCTATCCTCTGAGGACACACTCGTGCCAGGTAGGCAGGTGGGGAGCACTTGCAGAAAGACCTCTTTCCCTTCAAAGGGAGGAAGCAGGTGACCCTCCTGGAGGCCTAGAGGCAGCCGCCGGCCAGGGCAGGTGAGCCCGGCCCCTCCCACGGCCCAGGACCCTGGGACCTGTGCCCCAGACCAGGAGGCTGTGGCCGAGAGGGTCCTCCAGAGAAAGGCTGGGAGGGAGCTGTCTGCACAGTCACCCGCAGGCACCGCTAGGAAGCGGGAGGGAGTGTCCCAGACTTCCATCGGGCTGCCAGACCCACGTCCCGCTTGTTCACTCCAGGAGAATTCCACCCCACCCCCACCACCGACCTGCCCTCCCCTGCAGCCAGTGAATGCCTCCTTCACATCCTGAGAAAGCATCCATAATGGCCAGCCGCCTCCCACCTCCCGAGGAATTCCGCGGGCAGGGCCCGCAGGGAGGCAGGGCGCCTCCCCATTGGGAGCTGGTCTTGCTGGACTCCCCTGCGCGCTGGCCAGCCACAGCTCACCTCCCTTCCCAGGGCCGCGCCCGCCCGGAGGAAGCGAAGTGGCCTTTGCCCCGCACAGGCCAGCCAGGAATGCGGGGCCGCGATTCCCAGGACGCCTGCTCCAGGGCTGAGGACAGCGGGGGGAGAAGGGCGCGCTGGCCCCTCCGGAAGCGGCGCTCTTGATCGCATGCGAGGGGTGCGGCTCCGCCCCCGCCAGGCAAACGAAGCGGCTGGAAGGACCACTGCGTGTGGCCGCCGGTGCTCCTAAGTTGGTCAAACGCAAGCCCCAGGACATGCACAGTGACGGGGCCGCTCCCGGAGGCGCGTCTCTCCCGGGGCGCGCTCAGGTCCCCGATGGTGCGGGTGTGCGGTGCCCAAGCCCCCGATTGCTCGAGGGCTCGGGCCGTGGGAGCACGTTCGTGGCGCAGAGCGGGGCCGCAGGCGCCTGGGCGCGGGTAAGTCGCGAAGTTTGCGAGACGCGCGCCCTGCAGCGCGTGGATGAGCCGGGGCAGCCTGCGGCCCGAGACCGGCGCGCCTCTGAGCCGCTGAGGCGCCGGCAACGCCGGGGCGCTCCTCGGACCCGGGCTGCGTGCCCTCGCCGGCCCGTCTCCCGGCCGGGGGCGCGGCTGCCAGCGCTGCGGGCAGAGGCGCGGGTGCCCGGAGACCCCCGCAGCGCTCCCCCGCCCCGCCCGCCTGCCCGGGGAGGGGGCTACCCACAATGCCCAGCGAGCCCTGCCTGCGCTTCCGCTGTCCGGCCGCACCAGCGGGGACGGAGGAGGACCGACCCCGCCGCGCCCCTCCCGCCCCGCCGCGCCGCGCCGCGCGGGGGGTCGAGAGAGCGGCCGGGCGCGCGCCGGGCGGGCGGAGGCGGGGCGGGGCGGCGGCGAGGCCGGGCGCGGCGCGGACCAATCAGCGGCGCCGGGCGCGCGCCGGGGGCGGGGTCGGGGGCCGCGGGCGGGGCGCGCGCGGGCGGCGGGGGCCGCGGGGTTGGAGCGGGCGCGGGGGCGCGCGCTGTCCTGACGGACGGACTGACGGACACACGGACGGAGCAGCAGAGGCGAGCGCGCATCTCAGACCAGCCCGGACGCAGCGCTCGCCCGGCGGCGGCGGCGGCGATCCCCGGCTCCGGTCCGGCGGCCGCAGCGCTGCCCTCGCCCGCGCCCCATGGGGTCACAGGTAAGCGGCGCCGGCTCATTGTCCGCGCGGCCGGCCGGCGTGTCGCGGTGGGGCCGGGCGGGGGCCGGGCCGGGGCCGCTCGGAGCCGGGGCGCGTCACCGCCACCGGCCGCCCAGCGCCCGCCGCGCCCCACCCCGCGGGGGCGCCCTCCCGGCGGCGATCGGCGCGCTCCAGCTCCGGCTCCCGCGGCTCTGGTGGGACCCCGGCCGGGTCCCCGAGCTCAGGTGGCGTGGGGCGGGGCGGGCGGGGGCGGGGCGGGATCCCCGTGGGGCTGCCCGCCGAGGCGCTGGCAGTGGCGGGACTGCCCCGTGCCCCTCGCCCTGGGCGCCTCCTGCCGCCGCCGCCGCGGTGCCTCCCAGTCACCTCCAAAAGGGGAATTTTCCAGCTGGTAATTTCTGCTGCGTCAACGCCCGTCCCCAGAGACGTCCCGGGGCATCCTGGCGCCCCTCGCCCGCGCCGTCCCGCGCGCCCCCGCCCGCGCCTCCGAGCCGCACCCGGACCCGCCGCGCCGAGTTGCCAAGAGTCGGAGCTGCGGGAGGTGGGTGCGGTAGGTCCCCGCGCTCTGCCCGGCCTTGGGGGTCATTGTCTCCCCCTGAAGCGGGCACCCGCCTCGTCTCCATTTTACTTGCCGGCTGAATCTGGGCTCAGGGGCCTGGGGCCGGGGGCCGGAGGAGCTGGAGGGGGCGAGGCGCGCAGAGTGGCGAGGGGTTCGCGGAGCCCACGGGGCTAGCCCAGGGATGGGGTCCGCGGCGCGGCGTCTTTGTTTCTTTGTAAATAGACATGTCAGTCTCACCGGGTGGCAGGAGTCAGTATCTGACAACTCAGTCCCGACGTCAAACGGGGCTTTTCCACGCCAGGCAGAGGGCTCTGGCTAGTTGGGGTGCCCTCAGCCCCGCCAGCAAATTAGTTACGTGTTCGTTTAAAGGACCTCGCACAATACGGCTTGACCAAAGCCAGCACCCTGGGTAGAAACCAAATGGGGCAAAGAACAGGTATTTTCTGAGACTGAGGAAATATAAACAAAAGAAAGTTTGAGATTGTCAGCGAATCCCCTCGGCTTTTCCTGCCACAATCGCAGGATGCGGGTGGGACGCGGGGCCAGGTTGTCACAGCATTGTTTAAAGAAATGTTAATGAGCGCCCGCCAGCCCAGACACCTGTGCACCGAGGCGGCGCGCTCACATCGCATTCCTTGTAGAATCGCTCATATTGGATCTTTTAAAAAGGTAACTTCCCGTTAGGGTAGCTGACTTGTGGGTTCTCTGCTGCTGGCCCGCCTGCTGCCTGCGTGAGGCAATGTTTCCACTCTGAGAAGGGAAAGTAGTTTTTTCAGCCGAAGGAGATGTATGGAGGTTTCCTTTTCACGCGAATAATGAAGTAAACAATAGTACTTGGCCAACGTGGGACCCTTCCCTCGGGCATGTTTTCTGATAGCTTCAGATGGTGTCACCTGACACTTTGGGATGCGTTATTCCAGAAAGGTCTAGCAAATGACAGCGTATTGAAGCAGAAGTTACTGCAGATTGAAGGAGGAACTTAAACACTGTGCCCCCTTAAAAGCAGCAGTCATTTCCACCTCCATTCCTGAAGAGGAGAGGGAGCTGTCAGGATGAGATTCCCCGGGGGAGTGGTCACAGCCCCAGACCCAGCCTTCTCGCCCAGCCGGCCTCCGCCTCCCGGACACGCACACGCACACGCACACGCACACGCACACGCACACGCGCCTCGGGCCGCAGCTGGGTGAGCGCTGTGTCCGGTTGGGATGCTGTGCCCGCTGTGCGCGGACCGGCCACAGCCCCTCTCGGTGCTGGGCACTGGCGGCCGTGCCCTGGCCCAGCTCCTCGCCCACGGGAGCACAGAGAGGGGAGGCAGACGGGCTTCATCGCTGGGTGGGGTACTGTTTACAAACGTGCAGCTGAATTAGAGTTTAACAGGGTGAACCTCCCACATTGTCCTTTGGTGGAGTTTTTCAAATTAAGGGAAATTGGGCCACTCTGTCCCTGCGGCCCATGTTTCTGGGACAGCTGGAGGCTCTCAAGCTTTGTTCTCCACCAGAGGCCTGGGACCCGCCGCCAGGAGCTGAGCAGACCCACTTAGTGCGTGGGGCTCAGGAAGTTCCTCGAGGCCGGAGCTGGCGCCCGTGCCTCCCTCTGCAGGGGCTTTGTGCTCAGGTGCCCTCTTGGCTGCTGTCTAGGTGCCAGGAGAGTTCTAGAAACCACTGTCCTCTTGTCCCCACACTCTGTCTGTGGCTTATGTTCCTGCCCAACCCGTGTGATCAGGAAAACGCAGGCTTTTTCTTCTCTCTGACTTAAGAGTGTCCCCCTGAAGCGGCTGAGGGGTGGGAGATGGCCACGACTTCCTGTGAATGGGCTTCTGTGGCCACACGTTCGCTCCGGTGGCCTGTCTGCCCAGATGGGCCCACGAGGACAATCTCTGCTGAGGCCATGGCTCCTTCACGTCTCCGACACATGGCTGTCCTCCTCATCCTGGCCCTCACGTCCTCGGCTCTCGCTGCGGCTTTGCTGTGGTCGGTGTGGTTAGGGTCTGGGGCTGTGACGTCAGCGACAGTCCCCCCCCTTTCCTGCGATTCCAGCTTCAACGCTCTGTGCCCATGTGCTGCCTGTGCTCTCTCGTTACAGTGACAGTACAGGCCTGTGCTGTGTTTATTCCACAGAAGAATAAAAAGGCTGACGCTCAAACTTGACCCCGGCATATGATTTATGTAACCGTTTCTGCTCAGTGTCTGTCAGCCCTGCTATTTGGCTCTCATATAGGTTTAAACATTACTAAGTGTGTGCTTTTAAATCCCCACCCGAGGGTATTTTTTATTGATTGATTTTTTATTTTTTTTTGAGAGAGAAGAAGTGGGGGAGAGAAACATAGATGTAAGAGAAAACATCAGTGAGTCGTCTCCTGTACGCACCCTGACCAGGGATTGAACCCGCAGCCCAGATGTGTACCCTGACCAGAAATTGAACGCAGAACCGTTCAGTGTACAGGACCACATTCCAACAACCGAGTCACCCGTGATGTTTAGAAACATTTAGTGCCCTGGCTGGATGACTCGGTTTGGGGATTTAAAAAATTACTAACCTAGATATTTTAGAGTAGAAAGTTGAGAAACAATGTTGGTGTATTTTTCAACAGCATTTATAGAGGTTTTGCATTTTGACAGATGTGTTTTCTGAATCCGATCAGACACATTCCCAGGATTTCTTATTCATGACAGTCCTTCGGCCTTACCCAGGACCTGCATGGCCCAGCCTCAGACCAGGCGGGGGCTGGGGCTGCCGTGACCCGGTGCGCATGAGAATGGGCCCAAGAGTTCACCGGGCGGACAAGGGGCTGTCAGAGCCCACCCGCCAGCGCCAGCCCCACACCCAGCCTTGGAGCAGCCGGGCTGATGCTGCCCGGAGCAGGGCTGTGGGAGCAGGACCGGCCGGGCAGCTGTCCGGGCTGGCCGGCCGTGGGGTCAGTGGCCTCCAAAGCGGTCAGTGTGCACAGCCCACGCTCATGCTCGGCCTCGGAGGAGCGGTCTTTCCTGGTTCAGGGCCGCCCGTCCGCCCCTCTGCTCCCTCAGCGGGAGCTGCTGTGCCGGCCCCTCTCCCACTCCGCTGGCCGTCTCCCTCTCGCTTCCCTTTCAGCAGGTGGCGTCTCTGTCGCCTCGGTTACCAGACCTGAAGGGACCCACATATGTGTGGGAATGATTGCTTTTTAAAGTGTCCTTATTTAGCCGAAACCAGTGTGGCTCAGTAGATAGAGCGTCGCCTGCGGACTGAAAGGTCCCAAGTTCGATTCCGGTCAAGGGCATGTACCTTGGTTGTGGGCACATCCCCGGTGGAGGGGGGCTCGATGGAGGTAGCTGGTCGATGTTTCTCTCTCATCCGTGTCCTGGGCCCAGCTCTGGCCACACCCGCTCTGACTGCATGGACTGGGCAGCGTGCTCGGTGCCTCCTCGGCGTCCTCCCGCTGCCATCGCACACAGGGCGCCCCGCGGGGCCTCAGGCTGACCAGGGACAGGTGCTGCCCTCCGAGCGCCCTGCCTGGGCGGGCATCTCACGATTCCTCTCCATCAGCACTCTCCTCACTTTTCTAAGATGGGAGGAGTGAGAATTCACTGCTGAGTAGCGGGTAGAGGTGGTGGTTTTCCGTACAAACCTTCTGAGATCAGAGAAAGTCACAGACGTAAGTTCTTGCCAGGCCTCATTGAGAGACGGTGCCCCATGGCGAGCACCGTCCGTCCAGGAGGTTCCCAGGCTGGACGTCTGGGCAGCGTCCCGCAGGCGCCCTCTCCCTGACCTGGAGGGCTGTTGCTGGTGTGTGTGTGTGTGTGTGTGTGTGTGTGTGTGTGTAGCATCTGATTTCCGAAGGGCAGCTCAGGGAGTCGGAGCCCTTGTCAGACCAAAGCTGAGGCTCTTGTTTGAGCAGAGCTCCTGGGAGAGACCCTCCAGGCACAGCGTGAGTGGCACCTGCCGGTGACTGCGGTCACTTCTGCTTTCATTTCTGGTCGTCCCCGGGCGACTGCGGAAACAGCAGCTGTGTGCACTGCGAGGGCGTGGCTGTGCCCGTGGCTGTGCTGGGGCCGGAGCGTGCCCTGTGAAGACTTTTCTCTCTTCAGCCTCAGAGTGTGTGGAGAACTTTCAGAGACCATCCGCAGACATCCTGTCCACTGTGCACCTGTGACAGCCCCTCAGGCCGCTGGTGGGGACGCGTGGGAGCCGGGCCCTCTGACTTTGCCCTTCCCTGGGGCTCCCCTCCTGCAGGGCCAGGACCCAGGAGGCAGCCACAGGTGCTGTGCTGGCAGGAAGTCTGTGAGCCACGCACACACTGCCCCTCGGTGCCCCCGCCCCTGTTGGCGCTCCCGCTGGGAGCAAGGAAGGCGCTTGCGTTTCTCATGTCGATGCTGGCCTCCCTGCTGGGACGGGCCTCTTGGTGCCGTCCGGCCCGGGAGCCTTTGGAGGCCACGGGTCCGGGGCAGCTGTGGCTAGGACCGTGCTTTGG